AAATAAATAAAAATGTTATAAAATTCTTGAAGGGGAAGATTTGTCTTTGCTTCCCTTTGAATGTCTAAGAATATTTTACATAAAAGACTTCAAAATATTTGCTCAAAGAAGATACAAGGAAATCAATTGATACAAATGCATGCTTGTTTTTACAAATGCATTAACAGCAAGATAGGAGTAAGAGGTTAAGAGGTACAAACTCCCATATATAAAATAAATAAGCTAAAAGGATATATTGTATAACACAGGGAATATAGTCAATATTTTATAATAACTTTAAATTGAGTATAATTTATAAAATACTGAATTATGTTGTACACCCACAACTAATACTGCAAATCAACTATACTTCAATTTTAAAAGCACAAAAATGCATTAACAAAGTAAACTGCTCACTGGCCACATCTCCTATTAATAGTTTCAGCCAATATTAAAAATAATCATAAGCAAATAACCTACTATAAAAGTATTTTTAAAAAGCTTATAGAGATGGGAAATCTACTTTTTCTAATAAAAGAAAATGTATTTGTGTATGAACACACACATGTTCCTTTTTCCACAAAATATACCTTCCTTTTAAGAGAACAGTATTTTATTAATTATATATTTAATTGATAGAGTTCAAATTCACAAAAAACAAATTCAAAATTAAGAAAATAGATAGGATGAGATATACTGAATTGAGTAAGGAAGCATTTTCACCATCCATTAAAATATACTTTGTCTTGCTCTTTAAAGTGTTAACATTACATTTAAGTGTGACTTCCAACAATGATTTGACTGGAATGGAATGGGTGAGATTTAATCATTTATGATGAAAGATTTTGACTGGGCGGAGGGAGGATGTCTTCTGGGCCAGTGACCCCTTCAACACTACTGGAATTTCTGTGGAAGGCACACCAGTGCTCAAGCAAGCCCATCTTGATGTACTATATATCTGAGAAATGGTCTCTAGAAACACTCACCGGCATGCTAGTGATTAAGATGCAATCAGAACAGACAGTGAGGAGCCCAGTGTCCAGGAAATATTCACTCATTTCTTTTTTATAGTCTATTTTCAATATCACTTCTTGGATAGAACTCCCAAGCTTCTCTTGGTTGATGAGAACCAAAGCAAGTTCATGGACTGTCACTGAGTAACACTGAATTTATTATACCTTTGTCTAACTCAGGGCTTATACCAACTTTGTGTGATGTGATTTTATTACTGAATCTGAAGATTCAAGCATAAGTAGTCTTAATGTAAACTGTCAGTTTATTTCTTTAAATTGTTAATGACTTTGGTAATTGTGAATGCAAGTAATATTATGAATTCAAAAGGAAAAACACTTCTTTCACCTACCTTTAAAGGAGACTTATTTATTAATGACTTTATTATTTATTATTTATTTTCTTCATGACACTTTACAATTACGAGATTTTATTTTCTCACTCAGACTACTGCCTATAGATTGTATCTGCAATCAAAAAAGATTCATGATATTTAACAGAATGAACAAAGGGAAGATGATAGAATAAAAGCTAACCATGAATCAAGTGAGTTACATGCTTACTAGAAAATGAGTAAAGACAAAAGCAGAGACATTTAAATTCCATATATTCTTGGGCATAAAAAGTTTTATATCTTAACTCCCCTTGAGGAAAGAATTGCTATTCTTCCAAATATAATGACTTCATCCACTATTCCTTCATAACTGTCTTGAATAACAATTCTCTTGTCAAATTTTATTTTTTACAAAACCTCAAGGTTAAGTAAATAAATACTTAAATAAATATTTCATGTTTCACCAGTTTTGTAACAGATTTAATTAATTCTGTTCAGCAATATTTATCCTGTTTCAGAAAATGGCTGCATGGTAATAAATATTTTCAAGGTACAGAATGATTACTGGGTGGATTTTATTCAATTTTCAATGTTTTCTCCAGGGCACTTTCTGGGAAATACTTATTATATTTTCTAGAAGGAGGCAATCTGCTGCTATACACCAATTATTATAGCAGCATGTTTTGTAAAAATGACATTCAAGGATAAAGACTTTTTTCAGGAAAATGGCAAGATGAGGCAAAGAACATTTTTCTGATGCCAGACAGCTGGTCTTTTTCACCCCCAGCTCCAACTCTTTATTTTAAGTCATATCATCAGATCAATGTCAGGTCACTTGCAGCTAAATTGGCAGGAGCAGAGACAGTCATTAAAGGGATGCATTCAATAAAGAAAAATCCAATTACCTTCTGCATTAGAGAAATCAAATTCATTTCTTGTGTTGGTCAAGGACAGTCTTTGTGGGAAAAGATGCAGGAAAGGGGGCGCTGAGGACAATGCAAAAAAAGGTTGCTGTGTAACCTAAATACAATGCAAAATTTGCTGATGCTTCTATCGAAGGAAGATTATTAGAATTTGAAATTGTGGGACTTTCTAAGCTGAGAGATATTTGTTTAACTCTTGAGTTTCACAATTTTTCCCTTACCCTTTCCTCTTTACTAGGTCTTGGCACAAAATTTAGAACTTCATTATGTTCTTTATTGCATTATGCCTTGAAGGTAGTCTTACTCAGTAGAATACAAGCTTATTTTAAGGTTTGATAAATGACAACCCACTCTAGTATGCTTGCCTTTAGAATCCCATGGACAGAGGAGCCTGGCAGGCTACCATGCATGGGTCACAAAGAGTCAGACATGACTGAGCGACTTAACACTTTCATTTTCATTGTGCAATCTGACCAGAAACATGAATATCGAGTTGCTTTTTTTTTTTTTAAGTTCTTTAAATGTTTGGTAGATTTCACCAGTGAAACCATTACGTCCAGTGGACTTTTATTTGTTAGGATATTTTTGATTATTGATTCAGTTTTCTTACTAGTTATAGATCTATTTCTTTATAATGCAGTTTTGGTAGGTTTTGCATTTCTAGGAATTTCCCCATTTCATCTAGATTATCCCATTTTTTGGTGTATTGTTGTTCATAATAATCTCTTATAATCCTTTTTATTTCTGTAGAATCAATAGTAATGTCTCCACTTTCATTCAGATTTTAGAAATTTGAATCTTCTCTCTTATC